ATCAATGCCAATGATGTCATTAGTGCAACTGGAGGAAATGGAGTTTCAACCAGTTCGAGGGCCTCTGAAGAAGTGTCTGGAAGGTAAGGTTAAGGACAGTATTTAATTTTCTCTTGAATGTAAACTTTTTGGAGGAATACATGTACAATTTATATACATTTAGCACAGCTACAGTCTGTGTCATAGTTTTATGCATTTACTGAATTACCATACTTTAGTTTAGATTTTTGTTCCATAAAAGGTACATGAACCTGTACATACTTTCATATATACAGAAAAGTTACTTTCAAGATGTCAAAAACTTTAACAAATTGAATTTCAAGAAAACTAAACCCACAGGAATTTGTAATCTATTTTTTTTTTCTGTTGAAGATCTTTCCTAATTGTGTATGATTTTATTTGCCTGACAGGGAATATAAACAGTTTCATTAGGACAAAACTTGATGATATATATCATTCTCTTGAATGTCATCTTTTATGCATCTTGAGTTTATATGTATCTACTTTACAACTCTTAATTTTCCAGTAATTCACCTTTATACTTCACTTTATTTCAGCATACAGAAATTAACAGAAAAACAAGAAACAGGCAAACGGAGAAGAAGAAGAAAGAAAAAGAGATGGAAGCACCTGCAGCCGAAGACGTAGAAGAAGAAATAGAGGAAGATGATGATGATGGCAATGATGGGGACAATGAAAAGGATGAAGATTTTGTGGCAGATGAGGAAGATGAAGAAGACGATGAAGAAGAAGGTGAAGAAGAGTCAGTGGGAGGGGGGAGTGTGGTGAATGACAATGCCAGTGTGTCGGGTAGTGTTACAGGTAGTGTAACGGGAAGTGTGGTGGAGATTTCAGATGATGATGGCTGACAGGGAAAGGGGGGATGAGGGGTGGTCAATGACATTGCTATAGTGGCAGATAGTGAAATGGAAAATGTGTTGGATATTTCAGATTATGAGAACTGACCAGGAATCTGTGTTTTGTATTATTAGTATTGAATATATATCTGTATAGATGAACTGTTAAAATTGTTAGGAATACTTGTATTAAATCATGCAAATATGCAAACTTGTGTAATGTCATTTGCATCCTGCAGGTGAATGATTTTCCAAAATCTGGAAAATTTTTGTTTAAAAAAATTAATAGTGTTTTAATGAACTTTGACTATGAGAGAAGTTACATGCCAATAGTAATTAATCACTGTAACTAATGTGATTGAATGAAAAAAATCTTTGAATCGTTACCTTTCAAGTACAAAATTTTGATAAGTAATTGAAGGTAATGACAAACGAAAATAAATTTTCTCAAGTATCCCTGCATAGCACACTGGTATAAAATTTGATAAAATCTAAAGAAAAAAAATAGAGGGATTTTTGCCACTACAACACGTATTCTGACTTCTAAGCAGAAGCAGAAATTTTCAAAGATGAATGCATTTCATTTGAAGAAGCATCAATGGTCCTCACAATTATGTTCAATAAAGCCCAGTTTTAACTTCAGAGTCCATGACCCCGAGGGGGCATGAATTTTAAAATTTTGGAAAATGTGTCCTTGCTTATCACAACTATTCACCTAGTTAGTCTGCTGAAAACGCAGGGGGAGAGAACATTTTCAAATGTACATGTATTAGCTACTGTACTTTCACTGTATGTGATCAACTGATCAATAGAGTCCCGTGAAGAACTGCACAGGTTTGGTAGAAGACCCAGTGCAATACAACCATGCCACAATTTACATGATTTGTAGAAGAAATTAATAAGATCTTGGAAACTGCAACTTCATATAGTATATCATGCAATTAAAAAGGTCACTGGAGTCTCTGGTGCCCCCAAAATAGTCATTAATTCCAGATAGAGTTGTCTCTCATTGATCCTTGAGAAAATATTTCTGGAACCAACAATAACTCTATCATCTTGTAGTAATTGTGTAAATGATTGTGGTACTACGTACATTTTATCACCGTCTCAAAATCAATCTGTGATTGTGAATACTTTCAAATTAGGTAAATTTTGACCAAGAAGTGCTATTTAAAGGGACATGGACAGTTTTAGCAAAGATTTCAAATTTATTTATCCATTTTTGCAAATATTCAACTAAGGTCTTTCTATATGATATTATCAAAAAGAAATACGCGCGCTAACTCTCGATTCCCGCCTACATTTTGCAACCATTTAATTCAATATAAATGGCAATTTGGCCATAAATTCTTTGTTTAATGCAAGGAATAGTTCAGTAAAAATTGATGAATTGTCTTGATACCAGCTCTAAATAGTAAACCATCCCTAATTCCAGCTCTTGAAAAAAAGGGGGGGGGGTATACGATATTTTCCATTGAAATACGGAGTTTCAGGCATCACCATATTTTGAAATAGTCTTGGATGTGATTAAATGTTCCTTATATCTTTTCTTATGTTTTAGGCTAATAAATAAAACATAAATATATTAATAAAATATAATGTTTCATGAAAATCCATATAATTATCTATAAAAAATATTTTTAAATTTATCGAATTTGTTAACTTTTGAAAATTGACTTGGAGGTAGGCGGGAGAACAATACTATCGTTCGCAGTTTTTTGAATTTCATTTGTTGGAAATAGATAGATTTGGAGCTCCAAACCTTTGTTATATAAACAGGGTCCGGCAAGTGAAGTTTAAATTTTTATTTAAACAGGGTGCGTGTCATGTTTTTGTTTATACAGATTAATATACTAATATATGTTCTTGCAAAGCAGATAATTTCAATAAAGAAGTTAATTCTAAATACGATCGATTAGACATTTTTTAGTGATTTGCTGAATTTCATTTTGTTGTAAATATATTTTCTATATGTGAACAAAAACAAGGCACGAGCCTTGTATATATTCTGAAGAACTATTAAGTCCTGTATCTCGTTTGTTAATTGATTGAATTTTTGCTGATCTGAAGATGATATCATAGTTAGGAATTGTAAACATTAAGATTGGTTTTGAAAATTCAGTTGAAACTGTGTCCGTGTCCCTTTAAGGTTTTCAGCGGGCATTGTCGTGTTTATAGTAAAAAGTTATGTTCTTATCATATAGTTAACTAATTCCAATGATATCTTGGATGCTCAAGAAAACTTTACACCCGTGCAGAAAGTTTTATCCGAACTGAAAAAAAGAATTAAGAGTTGATAATTGTAAAGTGATTTTAACAGGTTCTTTTAACCTGACTGAAATGTGGAAGAGGGAAAAAGGAAAGGGGTTCAATTTATACAGGAGGTATAATTTTAAATTTTATTGGAAATTAAAGAAAAAAAAACCCCAGATGATTAAATTGAACAAAGAATATTTTCAAATCTAAAAATAAAAAAGATTACACTTCCCTTTAATCATTTGATGAACGAAAAACTCAAGGTTGTTGAAATCCAAGAATAAATTTTTTTGATCGAACAAGTTTTGAAATGAAAACACCATATGCAGGTGACAGTGGGGTATTTCTACATAAATAAGAGAATTTGAATGATCGAGACGCTTAAATAATCTCGTTTGTCATCAGGTGACGGTAGGATATTTGTTCATAATTAAGAGAATTAGACGATCGAGACGCTTAAATAATCTCGTTTGTCATCAGGTGAGAGTGGGGTATTTGTACATAAATAAGAGAATTTGATGATCGAGACGCTTAAATCACCTTGTTTGTCATCAGGTGACAGTAGGATATTTGTACATAAATAAGAGAATTTGACGATCGAGACGCTTAAATCATCTCGTTTGTCATCAGGTGACAGTAGGATATTTGTACATAAATAAGAGAATTTGATGATCGAGACGCTTAAATCATCTCGTTTGTCATCAGGTGACAGTAGGATATTTGTACATAATTAAGAGAATTAGATGATCGAGACGCTTAAATAATCTCGTTTGTCATCAGGTGACAGTGGGATATTTGTACATAAATAAGAGAATTTGATGATCGAGACGCTTAAATCATCTCGTTTGTCATCAGGTGAGAGTAGGATATTTGTACATAATTAAGAGAATTAGACGATCGAGACGCTTAAATAATCTCGTTTGTCATCAGGTGAGAGTGGGGTATTTGTACATAAATAAGAGAATTTGATGATCGTGACGCTTAAATCATCTCGTTTGTCATCAGGTGACAGTGGGGTATTTGTACATAAATAAGAGAATTTGACGATCGAGACGCTTAAATCATCTCGTTTGTCATCAGGTGACAGTAGGATATTTGTACATAATTAAGAGAATTAGACGATCGAGACGCTTAAATAATCTCGTTTGTCATCAGGTGACAGTGCGATATTTGTACATAAATAAGAGAATTTGATGATCGAGACGCTTAAATAATCTCGTTTGTCATCAGGTGACAGTGGGATATTTGTACATAAATAAGAGAATTTGACGATTGAAACGCTTAAATAATCTCGTTTGTCATCAGGTGACAGTAGGGTATTTGTACATAAATAAGAGAATTAGACGATCGAGATGCTTAAATAATCTCGTTTGTCATCAGGTGACAGTGGGGTATTTGTACATAAATAAGAGAATTTGATGATCGAGACGCTTAAATCATCTCGTTTGTCATCAGGTGACAGTGGGGTATTTGTACATAAATAAGAGAATTTGATGATCGAAACGCTTAAATCATCTCGTTTGTCTTCAGGTGACAGTGGGGTATTTGTACATATATAAGAGAATTTGACGATCGAAACGCTTAAATCATCTCGTTTGTCATCAGGTGAGAGTAGGATATTTGTACATGAATGAGAGAATTAGACGATCGAAACGCTTAAATAATCTCGTTTGTCATCAGGTGACAGAGGGATATTTGTATATAAATAAGATAGTTTGACGATAGAGACGCTTAAATAATCTCGTTTGTCATCAGGTGAGAGTAGGATATTTGTGCATAAATAAGAGAATTTGACGATTGAAACGCTAAAATCATCTCGTTTGTCATCAGGTGACAGTGGTGTATTTGTACATAAATAAGAGAATTTGACGACCGAGACGCTTAAATCATTTCAGGTGACAGTGGGGTATTTGTGAGAATTTGATGATCGAGACGCTTAAATCATCTCGTTTGTCATCAGGTCAGGTGACAGTGACGACCGAGGCTTAAATATTTGTGAGAATTTGACGACCGAGACGCTTAAATCATTTCAGGTGACAGTAGGATATTTGTACATAAATAAGCAAATTCTGATGATCGAGACGCTTAAAGAGGTTGGGTGGTCGTGGCCATTTTTAGACTATTTTGATCTCCATTAGAAGAAGAGCTCGATATAAAGATATAATAAAATGATCAAATTTTAAAACTAAAATTTATGAAATTTTTCTTTGCCAAATTGTAGTTGACAGCTTAAGATATCATATCCCAAAATTTAAGTTCTAAATCTGGTGTTTAATAAAGATAATTTGTTGATCCCCATCCTCCTTGAGTTTATTTATTTGTCATGTACAATTTAGTTGTTAGTTGGCACTTATCGTCTGTAGTCAGTAAAACATTTCAAATATGAAACAAATGTGGCAGAATATGTGTTTTCTTTATTTCAATTTTTGTATACAATGCATGTATATCAGATTGATATATGAATGAAAGTAACCACAGTTGTGTATTGTTAATCGATGATGTCGATATACATATTCTAATGTCTAATTGAAGGCAACAGCACTTTCCTTCTTCCCATGTAGAAGTTTTGAATAAAGTCTGCTTCATGGGATTATAAAAACAGGTCATCTAATAATAGAGCACAATTTTTAGAAGCACAGCTGAAGTCTAATCATCTAATAATTGAGCACAATTTTTAGAAGCAAATCGGAAATTTAACAGTTTGTTGAAAGACCTGGTCTCGGATGACTACATACATGTATATGTTGTCATTCAGGAAACCAACCGTCCTTTCAATATCAACTTCCTTTCTAAGGAGGGAATTCTTTAAAATCAAATGTCAGTTTTGAAAATTTTTAATTTTCCCAACTACCAGAATGAATTTGAATTATCATATTATGAAAATCCTTACAAA